TGCCTATCAAATTCACGCTTGCCACGAGCATCAAATCCATCTCCTCTGCTCATGCCACGGCCACGGCCACCTCGCCCTCTTCCAAGGCCACCACGTCCTCGAATAGGCCGGTCAATAATAGGTCTATCAACTGAAAATTCTCCTCCTTCACCCTTTTCTTCAAGTGGTTTTTCAAATCTTCTTTCACGAGGTGGTCGCCGTTCTGGTCTCCTATCAATTATTTTCCCTTCCCCCTGAAGTTGTTGATCAGGTCTTCTTCCAACACGTCTTATTCCTTCTTTCTTCAGCGCCACGGGCGGCTGCGCCTCCTCTTTCTTGTCCGCTACGCCGACGTTGGGCGGCAGCGGGTTCTTACGGTCCTTCTGGGACTCCTTGCGCAGCTGTTTGCCCGCCGCGGTGGAGTTGGTCTGAGCCGCGGCCTGAGCCTCGCTCTTGGCTCCGGGGCCCCCAACGCCGCCCCCGCCGGCTTCTTTTTTCTTGTTCTCCGCTGCCTTCAGCACCTCGAAGGAGTCCGATTCGTCGTCAAATAACTGGTCGAATCGGTTGGTGACCACACAGCCGAAGCCTTCCTGTAGGTGCCCAGGCATGATGGTGGCTCGGCGGCGCGTTCCTCCATGGATTGCAGCGGGCCGCGCCGAGCCAAGAGCGCCTGCTTCAGCTCTTCCCACAAGATGGCCCCTGTGACACTTTTTATAGGAGGTGATTGATAAAGATTAAGATCAGTATAGTAAACTCTCTTTGGGATCCTGAATAACTGAAAATGATTTATATTTTATTTTTAGATTGATTGATTTATACTTAATTATAAATAATTTCTTCAAAGTCCTGCTGAATATTCACATATTCAGGAAGCCTGTCTTCATCAAATATTACCATTTTACATGTGAATGTGGTACTATAATTGTCAAAATATTTTTCATTTCAGTAGATTCTTGGTCAGTATTCTTCATTTTCTTCTTTCTTGAATTCGTGGAGCAATTTGAGTTTGGATAATTCAAACTGTCAGAAAGACTTATGTGGGCTGCCAAAGAGCTCAGCTGATTAAAGCGCCTGCAAGCAGGTACAGGGGCAGGGGTTTGATCTTGGCCTGCCATTCTGGCTCCACCCCAGGGGCACACTGAGATGGCATTTGAAACTCTATTGGCTTGGTGGTGCATACCTACAATCCCAACTCTCGGGAGGCTGTAAACGAGACCCTGAATGCCCGCCCGGTAGACCCTTCCCTAGAATACAAAACAAAACAAAACAAAAACAAAACCTTATGATGTTGTTTTGCTCATTAGTGCTTTTAAGCTTTATCTTTTAAAACTAATTTCTTGAGGGCATGAGTCCTGTGTTTTCAGCAACTTCCTGGACCTAAGTGCCTAGGAAATAATGTTGGGTTGTGGAAATATAAATGAAATAGTGTTATCAATTACATGGGAAAATGACCAAACAGTTTTTGAAAGAGAAGTGTAATTTATTAAAAGTTATATTTTTATTGGTTTGGTGTGGTACTCTGAAAAAAAGTATGACAAAAGCAAACTCACTAAAATCAATAGCAACAAATGTGCTCATTAAATAATTATTAAATTTTTACTATATACATGCCATAGTTTTTCAGTTATACTGTTTTTTTTTCAGTTATACTGTTTTTATGATTCAAGTTAGAGATTTTGTTTCTATTTCTTTTTCTTTTCTTTCTTTCTTTTTTATTTTTTTGGTGGCTGGCTGGCACAGCATATGGTGTCAGGCATTGAACCATGGCCCCTGAGTTTGCCTAAGCTTGCCTAAGCAGGTGCTTTAGATTGCTGAGCTATCTCATGGGCCCAAGATTTTATTTCTTGATGTGACATTATCTTTTCATCCTCAGTTTGGGTTTTCTGTTAAATGTTAAAGAACTAATTTGTTTGCCAAATAAAAGAAGACAAGATTAAAAATTTCTGTGGTTAAAGTAATAGTTACCTTATATTAATAATTCTAAATATTTATTTATTTAGTTTTGAGGTATTGGGGATTGAACTCAGGATCTTGTGCTTGCTAGGCAGGTGCTTATGCTGTTGAGCTATTTCCCTGGTCCTCTAAAGATTTTAATATTGTTTTCTAACTCAGTTTATACAATTTTTTATTTAGCAGGTAATATATACATAGTATAAATTTTCTTATACTTATTCCTTTACTCACAGGTAACTACTGTTCCCATTATATTGTATACTTTTCTTTTTTCTTTCTTTTTTTTTTTTTGGGGATTGAACTCAGGTCCTTATGTTTGCCAGGAAAGCACTTATTCCACTGAGCCATCTCCCCGGCCCCTATATTGTATACTTTTCTTGAGATAATTTTTTTTTTTTTTTTTTTGGCAGAACCAGGGTTTGAACTCAGGCCCCTGCACTTACCGGGCAAGCACTTATTCTACTAAGCCATCTCCCCGGCCCCTCTAGAGATAATTTATACATAAGAGTAGATATGATTATCAAACTGTGTGTTTGTGAACATATGTGTGTGCACATGTGTGAATGTGTGGATGTAAACAAAAACACAAATATGTCCTTTTATTTGCTTTTCAGGATATCACTTCCACTTCTCTTACTACATAGCTGCCTCATTCATTGTAATGGCTGTTTGGTATCCTGTTTGATGCATGTTCTGAACTTTCTTTAAATAGTACTATATTTCTTACATTTAGGTTGTTTTAAAGTATTTTGTCATTATTAACATCAAAACCTTCAGATGAAGTGAGTTCTGAACCATGATTAGTAGAGCTTAGGATGCTTATCTTCACATGTCTCTCAGATATACTCAGTCTTTGTGTGGTTGCCTCTTTGTGATCCACTTTAGCTTCAAATTTTTTTATCTTTAAAGAGCACTTTACTAATTGTGCTTTCTTAAGTAGGTGCTCTCCCTTATTCTTTATTACATTTCTCTAATTATGATTATTAGACTTTAATAATTTGTTTATTCACTTTTTATGATCAGTTTACTTTGCTAAATTATAAACTCTTCCAGAGCAGATACCTCATCTGTTTTGTATATTATTACAACTTCAACATCTAATTTAATACAATGGCTTACACACAGTAGTACTAAAAAATTAGTTGGGAAAATGAAAAACATTGGGAATGATGTACTATACTCTTTTAGGTAGTACTTATTTTTAGGTTCAAACCCAGTGATCTAAAATAAAAAAAAATGCAGTACCATTATTTTTGAAATCAAATTAATTTTAGACACATGTGTACTTTTACTTATTTAACTTGGAAGCAGATTTAAAGCATTTGCAACTAATCATTCTTTTTTTTTTTTAAATTTTATTTATTTATTTGTGTGTGTGTGTGTGGCCAGCTTAGTCCACCAGGGGGCGGGGCTGGCTGGCATGTGGTGCTGGGGGATTGAACCGCGGTCCCTGTGCTTTGCTAAGCTTGTTCTAAGTAGGTGCTTTAGACCACTGAGCCATCTCACCAGCCCTGCAACTAATCATTCTTTTGGACTTGTTTTGGCTAGAAATCAGATGAACCTTAATATAGTTTTTTGGCTTAATGGGAGGGTTCAACCCAGGGCATCATGAATGGTAGGCAAGCACTGTACCACTGAGCTACTGAGCTTATGTTTTTTCTAATTGCTAAGACAATATACCTGACACCCACAAGTGAAAGGAGGAAAGGTTTATATAGTTCACCATTCATTTATAAAGGTTCCAATACATAGCTGGCTCCAAGGCAGGGTGGCATGGCAGAGGAGCATCACGGAGGAGGAGAAACAGTTTATGGTGTAGCAGGGCAGGCTGAAGGCAGTAAGCAGCAAAGTAGTGAAGCAGTGTGAACAGCAGCAGCAGCAGCAACAACAACAACAACAACAACAACGAAACAAAAGCAGCTGCCTTTATATTCTGTCCAGGCTGTAAGATGGTGGGCATCCTTAGTCCAAGTATCACATCTTTAATCCCAGCATCATACACTCTAGATCCAGATACCTCTGAAAAGCCCTATCTGTGACTACATGAGGCTTTATGGGGACATCTAGATACAAGCCATGACAGCTACATAACAAACCCTTTTTACATTTAAATGTTTTTGAAGGGGTCTTGCCTAGGCTGGCCTTGAACTTGTGATTGTCTTGCCTCCCTTGCCTGTGTAACTGAAATCACAGGTCTGTGAAACCATGTCTGACTTTGTAACATTTTATAACTTAAGGAATATTAGGAATTAAGTATTTTGCTTTAAAACATTACTTTGAGAACATTTAAAAATTTCTGTTGTGCTAGCAGATTTGAATGATGAATGCTTTGGATGGACATACTTCCTATTTTTCAGGTACAGAGAGTCTAAGGTTAATCCACAGTTGTGAACACACAAAAACATAGACTCTTAAAAATGCTGTGAAGTTTTTTAGTATATTGTAATTGTATAATATTATATAGTTTATATTTAGTTATATGTTTAAAGACTAATCTTTATTTTGTTTTCTCTGTGGTATCATTTTTTTAACTTTTTTTTTTTTTTTTTTTTTGGCAGAACTGGGGATTGAACTCAGGCCCTTGTGCTTGCCAAGGAAGCACTTATTCCACTGAGCCATCTCCCCAGCTCTGTGGTATCATTTTAAGTTGTCATTTTATCCTCTTAAAATCTCTACAAGTTTCAGCCCTAGACTTTTGTTTTCTTGAGTTACCGGATGAAATACAGGTACCTCTGGGTATCAGAATACTTTAAACATTATCATTTGACCCTTAGGGGAGTCACTGGAAGAAACATGACAAACTACAGTTAAAATATTGCATACTAAGGGTAGGAGACCTCTGTGCTTAGTGTATATGGATAAACTCAGAGAAGAGGAGCTTCTATTTTAGACATGGGGAGAGAACATCTTTTCTGTCTCTGTGGATGAGTAAATGTTAGCTGGGCAAATGAAGATATTACAAGCAAGAAATTGTAAAGCTCCAGACTCCCTCTCCAGGAATTCTTTTGTAAAAGACCCAGACTATGCAGCATGTGGTCCAGAAACTCACTTGGAGTAACTGAGAAGAGTGGAGGGTTTCCAGGAGGTGAGTCACTAGAGGAGGTGCAGAGACGGCAGGGTCAGAGCTGAAAAGATCTTGACACTGTTCTTTGGATTTGGATTTCATCTGAAAGGCAACAGGAAGTCATGGAGAGGTTTTACACATTGAAACAATATAGTTAGACTTTTTATGGGGAGAAGAAGACCACTGTTACAACATTGACTAATGAGAAAAAATGTAATACTAGATAGAGACACAGGCACTAGTTAGTACACTTATACCTTGATCCAGGATAGTATAGGTGCAAGTGGAAAATCAAGACATATTTTTGAAAACTTTAGAATCCATAATTGCCAGGATTTGACAGGTGTGTTAAAAGGGTCAGCTAAGCGCTTATGATGCCTGATTGGCTTAGCTGCTACTCCATAATGTCAGCCTGTCTATGTCTGCTCATTCTTGATGGTTAGCTCTCTCAACTCATCTGGTCTCAGGGCCAGTGTTCTCCCAGGGAGCAGTTGTGAAGCAGCTTCTTTTATTGTTATTGTACATAGTTTATAAAATAAACATGAGTCACTAGAAGTGACTACAACTTGTGATATGGTGGGGTAGGGTGGAAAATAATAGAGCAGTAGTATAAATGTTGAAAAGGGAGAAATAAAGAGAGGACAAGAGAAAAGGGGAGAAAGATAAAGGTCAGGG